TAAATTTTATTATAATTTTAAAAAATATACAAGTTTTCTATAAATTTCAAAATTCCAAAACTTCAGAAATTCTAAAGTTCACTTATGTACTGAAAGTAAATAATTTGACTTTGCAATTCAATTTTCAACCGTTATATAATTTTTAGAAATATAAGATACGCACAAAGATTAGGTTTAATTTATATATGTTTCTTGTTACTTATTAAAGTGGTCGCTCAAATATAAGCACTTATGTTAGATCTGTAAAATTAAGATGACCATAAGTCCCGGTTTTGCCGGGACAGTCCCGGATTTCTACCTTGTGTCCCAGGTTCTTCTAAAAGCAATATTTGTCCCAAATTTAGATGCTTTATTCCGGATTGTCAAGGGTTTTCAAAAAGTATAAGATTAAATTCAATTTTAGAAAATGTTATATAAGAATGGAATAATAAAGTTTTTATTAAGAGTCAGTAATTTTCAGTAAAAAAACTAAACTTAGCATGACTACCCCCTCTCTAGGATTAAAAAGTCTAAAATCAACTGTCCCGGTTTTGACTTAAAAAAACATGGTCACCTTATTAGTAAGATACAAGCTAATCAGTCACCCAAATTCATTAGCAAACTCATTGATAACAGAGAACTATCCAAGAAGATTGAAAAGAAAAGCGCCACTGGATTTAAGCTATCAACTCTCCTGACAAAAAATGGAAATAACTTAATCATTATTTATAAGAAATTATTCATTAAGTAAATAGTTAAAATTATATAATTATCAATAAAATATTGTGAATTTTATATTGAATGAAAAAACAACTACTGAGTTGTTTTTTCCAACATGCCCGCCCTTGTAGTATATAATGTCCCTTTTTGGCCGACTATTGTAAATTCATCAAATTTATTGAATGTCCTTTACTAGACAGTTGTAAATAAAAGAGATAATAAAAAAAACCGTATTAGTAAAATGCGAATGATAAAATTTAAAGTATTTATAATAATTATTTGTAAATATTTAAAACAATTGTTATCAATCATTAATAATCAATTTCTAATTGATTATTGATTATTTTTATAACTCAAATATTCAATTACGGTACAGGAAGTTCTAGCAATTTGCCGCAAGGTACAATATCATGCACCACTAGTTTCTACGTGAAAATTGATAAACCTAAACTACTTAATTTTAAAAGAACCAAAAATTTTGAAAAATGGAAGACATAAATACAAATTACGTTTGACTGATTATTTTCATAAAAAGGTTGCCTACTCCCCGTTCCTCGTCGACGCACACAAGCGAATCGTTTTCGAAGCGGATAAGTAAGAGACCCGTGGACCCTAGGTGGTGTTAGTACGGAGTATCGTGAGTCATGTGCGTGAACTTTCGTAAGGTCACATAGTTTGACAGTGTCCAACGCAGAACGGCTGAAACGAGCCATCGAATGCGCCGGCGGTCCCACCATGTGAAATCTGCGAATTACTCATCCGCCGATCGTATTATGTTGTTTTAGTTTCAGGTAGCTCAAAACAAATTAGTCACAAGTAATGGCATTCTAATCGGATTTTAATAAAAACAACAAACATGCTAAAGAATGAGGAACTCGGATGCATGCATTTTTATTGCTTCGAACTAATCTTTTTTATTTGGCCGATGGAATTGAGCGATATTTCACTCTGAAAGAGGAAGATATTTACATTTGTAAGGTCTTAGTCACAACGCACGATATATTTAAACACTTACAAAAGGCGCCGGGAACTACAACAAAAAGGTTTAACACTTTGGGGACGGCTGTCCTCCTCAGTGAACAAACATACTCTGTGAGGCATAGGCTATTTTATAAACAATGACTCAGTTTGCATCGAAAAGTTGAATAAATTACATATAGCAGTGATAAACAGTATTGTATTTTGAAAATAATTTTAAGTTTATTTTAGTAGTATTTTTTGCCTTTTCTTTGCTATATAGTCTTTTTTTAGTATTTAAAATGACCGAGCGCTTTTAAATATGGCAAAACGACTGGTGAATTTTGTGAATTAAGCAGTAGTAAAAATGAGTTTCAAATAGACATTCATACAGACAAATTTTACGAAATTACTATTCGCACCGATAATAGTGATGAATGTGATGATGATATTATTCAACCAACAAAAAGAAAAAGTTCGACAAAATAAATGATTCTCCTTCAATAATCGAGTTTGACATACATCAACAAGCACCCCGACTACAAATACAAAGCAATATAAGACATCTAATAGTATATTTTACTTTATACTTTATAAATAAATTATTAGACAATATAATAGAAAAAATAAACCATTATGGCAGCAAAAAAATGACCAAATATACTGACTAATCAGTGGCATATTCTAAACGCGAGTGAAAGAAAAAGGGATTGTATTGTCTGTTCTGACAGAAAAGCACCAGGAGAAAGGCGGCGAACAACATTTTATTGTAAAACATGTCAAAATCAACCAGCTATGCATTTTGGAAATTGTTTTGAACGTCACCATTCTTTATAAAATGATCAAAAATAAATTAATATTATCAATGTATGTCCTTCAATGACCACAAATTTTTATCAAACAAATTGCATAACATACACAATAAAATCAAGTTTACAGCCGGTAAAGTAGATTGTTTTGAAATCGGTGCCGTCCCGAAAGTGTTAAACATTTAATTTTTTATGAGATGTTCTAGCTCAAGTAGTATTTGTAATCATGCATGATACATGTTTTATCAACGTATATGCATGTAGAGGAGAGTGGGTACGGTTGTGCCAGGGTACGGTAGTGACAGTCGTAATAATAGCTAAACTATATCTTTTGAGAAGGTCCAAAATGAAAAGGATGAAGTATGTTTGTTCAAACAAGTTCCCATTATTACATTGAGTCAACGTCTTCATTACCATGACCCGTAAACCGCATTGCTTTTAAAGATCCAAAAGTAAGTTTTTTATTAGATTTCTTTTAATAATTACTGTTACTTGTATAACGATAGATCACTTTGTTTATTTATTTGCTGAAACTGTATGCAGTTTTTGCGTAGATAATTTAGCTAATGATTTGTTTTCAAAAGTATGCGTTGGGTGCCGTTGTGACATGTGGTTGAAGGTCTTGTACTTTTCGAGAGGAAATTGAACAGATAAAAAATATCTAACTTAACTAAGCCAAAATACGAAAGAGAAAGTAAAGGAAATTTCAATACAAGAAAAATAAATTTCATACAGATTTCTTGTTAACTTTGTTTAAAAAAATATGTTGTTATATATTGTTAAATTATATTCATAAGCTTTATTTAAATGATTATGTTGTTTTGTGTTACATATTTCTGATAATAAACGATGTTATATACCATTTTGGTGTTTATACTATTACTTTTTAACCTATGTTTATGTCTGTCACAACCGTCCTAGGGGTGTGGACGCTTGTGGCACTCGCCCTTTTCTTATATAATTTAATTTTATGTTGTATTTAAGTATTATTTCAGTATTTCCGCGTAGACGAATGTTCAATTTACATTTAATTTGCTGATAAAAAAGTGATACACCCAACTGGCATACTAATAAAATTATTGCTGATAAAAAAGTGATACAACCATACCCAGTCTTCCCTACTTGTTTCCTTGTATTAAAATAATAAAATCAGATATAAAATACACAAATAAAAGGCGAACCATTGGGTTTACTTCCCAACGCCATTGCAATATTATTAAACTAATAACTATAAATTACTCAGTGTCTTCCTAAAGACAAATAAATGGCAGTCATAACATTCTATTTACCTTTTGTACGTCTCAATACTCCTCTGAAACGGTTTGATTGATTTATATTAAATTTTATGTTTTTTTAGGATAACTGAAAATCGGTCAGCATCTATATTTCATTAGTTTTAGTATAATTTTTTTTTGAGTTTTTGGACTTATTTTTATTTCATTTTTATAATTCATGATTGAAAAACACATACAGAGCTAAATTTTCACTCTCTTACCACGAACTCCTTTTTCGTTTCGGATAATTTTTCATTCCGCTTTCATCAGTCAAGGAATGTTTTTCACTACATTACTATTAAAATCTTTTTAAACTTACGCAAAAACTACAAAAAAGATATTTGAATTAAAAATGTGATAGGACTTTCTTAGTTTATTTTCGAAAATTGTACTTTAGAAGTAGCCTCATGCCCCAGTTGTAACAGACCCACAGATTAGAAATCATTGCATTAATGGATGCAACAAAAAATCATTTCGAATTGCCATAGTTATTACAAAAAGCCAATCATTTTTCTAATTAAATTTGTGCATAAACAAATTAACTAAAAAAAATAATAAAACACACAAGGTAACAATTAAAAATTAATTAGAAATTGTGTTTAGGCATTTATATAAGCAGAGTCAGATTATTCTTAGTGATTGCCAAAATCCAAAAATAATTTGATAAAATAGTTTTAATAAAATGTTAACTATAAAAATTGAAGTTGGATGCAAAGTATGACTTGCATAGAGCAAATAAGTTATTTTATAGAAGCCAGCAGTATTAGAAAAAATCTAATAAATATATATATATATATATATATATATATATATATATATCAAATATAGATAGGCCAACCGTTTAGTTGCCTTCTAAAAAGCCACTCAGTAAAGTAGTACCAACACTCATAGGATACTCAGGAGCTCATAGGAAACTCAGGATAAGTTCTGATTGCTGCACAAATAAAAAAATGTATTATACAGATTATGAAACTTGTTTCTGGTTTTGTATCTAATATTTTCTACAGCATGCTAAATCTCTGCAAATTACTCATCCGTCGAACAAATAATGTTGTTTCAGGTAGCTCGAAAGCTAAGAGTAGTAAGTCAGAAGTAATGGGATTCTAATAGAGTTAACTTGAAACATGGTTAGAATCAGGGCCGTATTAAGTCTTTAGCGTACTTTCATGCAAGATTAAATTTAATATTACCTTCGCAAATTGAAATTAATTTTCCTCAACCCTTAATACAGTTGTTATTAGAAAAATAATTCAGTATTTACCTTTTTCAATACGAATATTGGTCTTGGTATATAGAATATTGTTAAAGCAACTTTCTTAATGTTTAAGTTCACAGGCCCTAGACACCCCGCTTGCTGTGCCTATAGAATAATGAGGCTCATTAGATAAACAATTGATAAATAAATTATTGTTAAAATACATATTAATGAATGTTAGTTTATATTAATTTTTCAAACAAACTAGCACCGAATTTAGTATCATTTCAAATCTTTACTATGCGATTTAGTTCAAGTTCGACTCTAAAAGAAGGGTATAGGGCTTTCCTGAAGTGGTTGGAGATATGAGTTCCTGATCAGAAGTTACTGGTACCCGCCTCGGACATCCTGATGTCAAGCAGCAGTGACATCGGTTCGACTCGAAAAATAGATAGCAACATGTTTACAAGTGGAAATAACCCTTACCGGCATTGCTGCATCCTTCAACTTATAGGTACATTTTTAAATCCATACAATTTCTATACTACAGAAATTGTCATAATAAATTCATCATAGAGATAGGACAACCTTTGGGTTGCCATCCATAAAGCCATTTGATTAACCAGTTAACTGCGGCGCGCTCATCAAACAGTGTGCACATATCGTTTTAATTAACGCAATAAATTCATTTGAATAACATACATTCAAAGTAAGAACTCAAATTCTTGCTATAAAATGATACAACATTCTAAAATATTATAGGCCTACAAAAAGTAGTTTAAGTATAAAAATTCACCAATGTTTGGAATAATGAGCCGCGCTCTTAGTATACCCGTATAAATATATATTCTGTTCTGCGTTTCGTACTGATTACCGTTGACGTGCACGTTTAAATAAAATATATTTTTAGAACACGAATTAGAATAAAATGTGCTAAACAAATAAAATCAAATTAAAACAATTTCATAGATTAGAAGTTGGTTTAAAACCAGCGCTATAACGATAAACCTACTGATTACCGTTGACGTGCACTTTTAAATAAAATATATTTTTAGAACACGAATTAGAATAAAATGCGTTAAATAAATAAACACAAATTAATACAATTTCATCTACTAGAAGTTGGTTTAAAACCAGCGGTTTAAAAAATATTGATTGAAAAACGGATTGTTTAGTTTTTGGTAAAAATCAAAAATTATAGTTTCGAAATAAATAGTTTAATTTTTATCTAAATGTCTGAAATTAAATTCTTATTTTAATAAATAATAATATTAATAATCAATAAGTCAATTATTTACCCAACTTGCCTTAGGGTAACTTACAACTATTAAATTGCTAAACACCTTGAACCTTTCAGAATATTTTTTTTTTTTAAATTGCAATTTGAATAGCAAATGATCACTGTTTGGAACCCATAACGAATATACTCGTCAATACACAAAATCTGCCAAATCTCCATGACAAGTATATTCGTCAATCACAGTTAACTGGTTAAGGCAGCGGTTTCCAACCTGTGGGGCGCAAACAATTTTTTCATTAGAGCGGGGGGAGGGGGGCGCGATTCGAAGAAGGTTGGAGAACACTGGGTTAAGGTGTCATCACAAAAGTTTTATAGGATTATTAAGTTCTCGTTGCTGTTAATAATATAAAATAAAAAAAAGAAAGGAGAGCTTTTCTTAATAAAATCGATTCTGGAATCTCCGGTATGCATTTGTTGAATCTCTTCGGAATCACAGCGGTGTACTACGCCCTATTCTATTGAATCTTTTGTGATTCATCGGTAAATTTATCAAAATGATCTAAAGAAGAAGCGTTTATATTTATAATATAACAAGCAAAATATTTTTAATCGAATCAGAATCCCATTGCCGTTAATTTGCCAGTCTCGTCGTCTGTCACAGCCTCATGTCTGCATCATCTTATAAAACTGGAGCACTTAATTATCGTCTTACAAAAAGACGATTTGTTTGTTTCATGATCATCTATTACTGATTATTTCCTAAAGGCATTTATCGTTGTAATTTGTACTAGTTAATAATAATTTATAAATTTTAATTACTATCTTATACATGAAGTAGCATTTGTGAGGTAATTTGTTTTTATATTTAACTTTATAGTAATAACCCAAAAAAATTAACGTAAAAAAGCACAAATGATGTTAGATTAATTGATGATATTTTTAATATTGGTTAATGACGTTGATAAAATTCTTATGATAATCATCTTAAACAGTGATCATAACGTGTCCTATGAGCAATCTTTGCTATCGTACATCCTAACCTAGTATTTTTGGGCAACCCAGCGGTCAACCCCTCTTCCTTTTTATGTGTTCACTGTATATATGTTTGTAAGATATAAGTGAATATGTTGCAGCAATGCCTACAAAAGGTGATTTTCACTTGAAATTTTATATAATATCTAAAACCTCAAGTGACATTTTTATATCATACTGCTTGATATCGAGCTGTCTAAAGTTGGGATCGAACGAGAGACATTGCAAAATATATATGGATTGATTTAACGATGGATTAATTACTGATTGCTAGTAGTATCTAGCATCATATATATTTTCACATATATAGTAAATATATTTTCGCATTTTTTTATACCCGTGACTCTAGGACAGGGCTTCCTAAACTATGGGTCGCGACCCCAAATGGGTAAGAACATTCAGGAGTCGCAAGAGTTTTATTATTAATTTTTAATTATTATTTTTATTTATTAGTTTTTTCTTAATTATTATTTTCAATGGCAAATATTTATATCATTTTATAACATCACGTCTAGGTTTTTGTATGTTTTACAACAAATTCTAAAACTAAATATTTTTATATGTATCTGTACATGTATATTATAACCAAACAAATAAATCATCTAAATATTCAATAGATAAAAGGAGTCGCCAAGGACAAAAGTTTTGAGAAGCTCTGCTCTAGGGTCAATTCTCGGATAAAATAGGTATGTTATGGTAATGCTATGTTTCGGGTCTAAATTCATATGAGTTGGAAGTAACAAACTGTCGAAGAGTTATGTATTTGCTGTGCGATCAGGCATTTTACACATAAAATCTAACCTCCAAAAGACACAAACGTCGAGACATCAGAAAGTTGTACTTACGATAAAATTGTTATTTGAAGTTTGTACGATTTGTAGGTTAGATTTTATGTGTGAAACGCCTGATCACACCGCTAATACAAAAATTATAGACAGTTCGTTACTATTACTACTAACTCATACGTATGTAGATCCGTAACGTAGGATTACCATAACATACATCATAGATATTCGAGAATCGGCCTTCCAATATTTAGAGAAATTTGTATCAATATTAGATCGTACAATTATGTTTATTGGACTAGAAGGAGTTGATAACACTTGTAATAATACAATTCTCGATTACTAAATGAAAGGATTTAGAACGTTGAGGGCAAGGAAGGTGTGTTTATATGTTGGCGTAGTTGCGTGCTAACTGTCATATTGGAATACAAATTTCAACTTGAGTGTTATGCAAAAATTGCTTAATTACAAAAGCCCACCAACGACCGTTGACTTGCGTACAATATGCATAATGTGAAGCAACCGTTCTGTAATTCTTTTCGAACATTTAATTAAACATCCTTCGGTGAATTTCACGCAGGCTTGAATGCAAAATCGAGTACTAACTTTGAAGAAACGATGATAGAAAATAGCAACTTAAAAAAAATAAAGTGCAAGATATATTAAGGCAATAACTCTTAACAATAATAATATTAAAGAAACCCGTTTATGATATATACTGTGCATTATGTCAACCAAAACAGGGATAATTATTGCTCTGCGACATGCTAATAAAAGATGCAAATGGTACATTTATGCTGATTATAAACTGAAAGAGAATGGTATTTGTGCACTTGATGGCAGTGCGAAGTGATTACTGCGGTAAGTGCACTATTAAAAACTGGCAAATAGCTTTAAGAAATTTTATGACACATTGCATGTAGGACTGAGTTTGTATTATATTTAAAATTCACCGTGACCAACGATTTCAAAGAACGTTGTATACGTTTTGCTTACCATACCATAACTATAATAAATAATTTTAACTTACCGTTTTACGAAATAAATTATTACACGGTAGATGCAATTACAATAAGCAAAAAATATTCTAATAGAATAAATATATTTTATTTTAGATGATTAACAATAAAATATTAAGACCAAATATACGCAACATATTAGCATCGTAAGTTCATTCTTCTACGAAGCATTGTTTCAGAGGTCAAGTTATGCTTAATTAAGAATTATAATAATACGAAGAAAAGATTGATAAAAAAATGCAAGATCGAGGAGCCCTTTAGAACTTTTGGATACAAAAATCTTTTCAAGACGATGACTTTTCAATTTACTACCACTACAGGTAGGAAAATTAAGTGATCATCAATTGCACCATTTTAACTTTCCCTAGGAAATCAATTTCCGTTAAATTTTCAACTTCTCGTAGGTAAATGCAAGTACCTTTACGTTTCAGAGGTTCCTGAACATACCTTGGAAAAAATTAATGTGTGTGTATATATGTGTTAAATATGTATGTATGTATGTATGGATAAAATTTTTCGTTGACTTTTTCGGGAGCACCGATTAACCGATTTGAATTATTAAAAAAACATTCCATTCCTATTCACAGAAGATTAAAAAATAAAACTAATTTTTCTCTGCCTTCTCTCCAAAAACCAATTCTTCCTTTACACTATCGACACAAGCAAAATGTTTTTTGAAGCATTTTAATCGGATGCTCCTTTCTCTAAAAAACTGCTGTTTTTTGCACGTTTTGCTTCGTATCTCCGTAACTGCTGGACCTGCCTTTGCCAAAAACTAATCAGCACATCTCCCTATCAATAGGAATCGAATGTTTTTTGAACCATTCAAATCGATTGATCCGTGCGCCCGAAAACGTGACTGGAAATGTGTATCCATATATACATACACGCACACACATTCATTTTTTCTGAGTTATGCCAAAATGTTCAGAAACCTTCAAAACGAAACAAATTTTCGGCCCATTACAAAACTTACCCTACGGAAAGTTAATAACTACATTTTATCTGACTGTGTAAGAGTAACTCATCGTAATTTACTAATCACGCGTATATGGATTGCGACCGTATATTAATTCAACGCACCATCAT